TGACGGAGGGGCAGGAACCGAGAGGTCCCCCAGGTCCCCTCCGCGCAGCCTCAGAGCGTTTGCCTCCCCTCGTCAGATCCGGGGGCTCAGGCGGGTCACAGAAGCTAGCAGCTGCCGGGGGCCGGGAGGGGGGCCAGGTTGGCTTTGGAAGATGGGAGCTGCTTTATAAGGGAATGTTCTCGCCTCCTTGGAGCTCAGGTTCGCTGCTGTAAGTGCCTCTCACAGCAAGTCGGACCCACCAGCAGCTTCTCAGTGTCCAGGAGCCCAAGAGAGCGCCCGGGGCTTCGCTTTTTGGGGCCTCATCCCAGACACAGGGATGCACAGGGCAGAGCGAGGCTGAGGGGAGGGGTAAAGTGAGGGTGGGGCTCAGGGCAGAGCTGGGAGAGCCTTGGACTTCGGGGGAGTAAAAGTGAGGTTTCTGGGAGCCAAGATCCCTTACAGAGGGCGGAGGGAGCACGAGGGGTGCTCACGGGGAGGCGGGGGACAGGCTCCGGGACAGCCCCGCTCAGCCGTGCCCTTCCAGGGAGGGGCCTTCGGTCCCAAGAGTCCCGTCCGTTCAGAAAAGGACTCCCCCCCAGGCACGGGGACCATCCCCACTCCGCGAGCGGGGCCACCGCGTCATGCGGTTTGCAGAAAAGTTTCACCATCCCCCAAATTTCACTCAGAGATCCGAAGACGGACCCACAACTCAGCCGACGGCGCTTTCTCACAACACGCTCCTGGGTGGACAGGAGACGACGCGCGGGACACGCGGAAAGGGAGGGCCCCAGGGAAGGCGGCCCCGGCTTTATCGTCGCAGGGACTTCTCTGGACAACAGTCTTCCAAACATGTCACGTTTCGGGAGCAGGAGGAACGGTTCTGACCAAAACCCCGCACAGTCACTCCCCTCGCCGCTCCTTCCTTTGACTGCTGTACAATAAACATGAACTTGCTTTGCAGGCGCAGCACGGGCCTTGGCCCGACTGGAACGCCTTCTCCCAGGACGGGCTCCCGAGTGCGGTTCTGAGGAACTAAAGCGAATCATCCGGAAACCACACCGCGACCCTGTCGCTCGGGGATTCGAGAAAACCCCCAGGTGTGGGGGGTTCTCTTTCAAATCGTCTTTCTTTTTCTTTAAAAAAATATCTTTATTGATTTCAGAGACAGGAAAGGAGAGGGGGAGAGAGAGAAACATCAGTGATGAGAGTCATCGATCGGCTGCCTCCCACACACC